TAGGAGGAAATTGAGGACCAACGAAAATAACATCATCCGATCAATACCAGCAAGCAAGTCAATTCACTTTCTTTCCATTCCTGCATAATTCAATTTCCTTTCTTTCATTATTTTCATTCCTGCAAAATTTATTGCTTTCCCATTTAATTTTTTTTGTTCCTAAATTCTTGTCGAGCATTTAATTTAATTCATTTTTTTGAGTAAATTTCCCTATTTTTCTTCTTTGGTCCAACACCATAATTTATACATATTTTTTGTTGATTTATTTTTCATGTGTGACTTCGCCCTGATACTTTCTTGAGTAGGCCGAAAAACCCGATTATTGTCGATTTCGATTGACCTAGATCTTTTGGACCGTAATCGACGAATTTCAACGACAACAGATTGGCATATGCCTGGTGGGACTCCAATGAATCTAGCACTTTTTATGTAACTGAAGAGTCGTAAATTACCATCACCGGAGAAAGTCATGATGTCAAAAAAAAATGAAATCACCAGCGAAACTTCAGTCCTACGCATCTCCGGAGAAGTCACCCATGATGAATCGTCCGCAACTCTGCGAGGCGTGGACAAGTTGGTCATCATCTCGGCCAACACCCTACAAACTCAGATCCGCGAGGAAATTCAGACAGTCTTCCATTAATCGGCCTTGACCCTTTCTCAATATCTCGCAGATATTCTCAAGCCAACTATTCAGAATGAAATTGCGTGAACAAGAGACGAAGAGATATACAAGGGCAAGGCACCGGCGGCCAGGCCCGAAGATGATGAAAACATTCCTCTGGCGAAGGTGGCACAGAGGGGTACATCTGGACATTCCCCAACAACGCTCCAATATAGTAACGCAACCATATTGAGAAAAGAGAACGTAAACAACAACCCCTCGGATGAGACAGTGGCTGAAGGACCTTGGCGGTCCTCGGGGCAGGCCACTGTAAGGCCGCCGTGGCATCAGGGACATCCGGGAAGCAGCGGGTATACACCATCAACCACTCAATGGAAAAATAATCCTTTGTTCGGTGGTGTAAGCGCACCCGCATCACCTGAAGGGGTGAATGGTCAAGAAAATGTCCATGCCAGAGGAAGAACTATTGACCCTTGGGGGCACGACCGAACATGGTCTCATCAGCTCCGGCCGCTCCTCCAGCTCAGGGGATGACTCTGAGGGCATCAGCCGCACCCCCAAACCTACCCTGGGGGATAGCTTCTGCTCATTCAGGTCCTTGGTGGTTAGCTCCGTCGACTGTAGTAGTGGCTTGGGGCTCAATTACGCCAGCTCCGACCATGATGCCTCTACTTGGGAGGCAGACAGTGTACCAGGAAGGTCCTCTCGCCGGACCCGATGCGCAACAAGGGTACGGACCTCCGCAGGATCCTCCGATCTAGTTCAATAACTTTGTTCCGCCATCGGCAGCACCTCCACGAGTGCCAGCCGAGGGAAATCGAGTGCGTCCACCTCTGGCTCACCCTCCACAGGGCCATCAACAATACTTTTCTCATGCTCAGCCAGGTCCGGGACAGCCCGGAGGATATGCCGATATTGCTCCCCTGCCACGACCGATTATTAATCCGCAGACCATCGAAGAAGCAATTCAGAGGTTGTATGGCGACCCTATTCGGCTGCCTGTTAGACCCCATTACCAACGGCTGTTCCTGGATCAAGTTGCCATCGATCATCTGTTACCCCAGAATGCACGGGTTCCGGAGTTCACATTCTTTTTGGGAGAAGACTCACGTTCTACTATCGAACATATCAGCCGGTTCACGGAACAATGCGGAGGATAGTTTGGGACCAACGAGTGGTTTAAGTTCCAACTATTCTCATTGTCTCTCATAGAGCCGGAATCCACGTTGTATGCATCTTTGCCGCCAAATTCATGCAATACGCGGGCGGACTCGAAAAAGCGTTGCACAAACGTTTTTACAATCCACTACCGGAAGTGTTAATATCATACTTGAATAACCTACGGCAAAAATATAATGAACCAGTGGAATAGTTTTTGAAGAGATTCCATAGGGCAGAGGGGTAGGGTTAGGTGCGGATACCAAAAAATCAAGTAGTTAATATGGCTATCGATAATATGACACACCAGCTCCGAGAGAACCTGGCCCTACAAAAATACAACGACCTCCGGCAGCTCGCTGGAAAAGGAGTCAAAGCAGAACAGCTAGCTCCTCTGGAACTCCCAGACAGCTAGACAACCAAAAGAAGCGGAGCACATCTTATCCAAGTCCAGAAAGACGAAGCAGACTGCCCAGAGGAGCTAGAGGAGACGTTGGTGGCTGAAATATCACAAGAAAAGGCGTACACCTATCCGGCTCTCAAAGTACCCGGAGGAAGGAGACCAATCCCAAGGTACAATATGTTGTTGATGTATCTAAAACTGAACAAATATTCGAATTTTTGTTGAAGGATAATCAGCTCTGGTTTAAAGGACATAAAATGCCGTCCGACGAGGAATTTGGTGGAAAAGCCTATTGCGAATGGCATGGCTTGTATGGACACCAGGTTGGGAGTTGTATCGCTTTTAGAAATGCGATACAAGAGACTATTAAGGAGGGTCACCTGTGGGCTGGCCGATAAGCCGAAGATGAAAATTGCTACGGAGCCATTCCTGGCTTAAATTAACACCGTCAGTGTCCATTTTGGTAGGAAGAACCAATCAGCCTCGGGTAGCAGGCCAAATTTTGAGCAGGCTGCACGAAGGAGGAATGTATTTGAATGATTGGGGAGGTCCATAAAACTCCCACGGAGAAGTTCAATATGGGATCGCCTCACGCTGCATAACAAAATAGCCGAAGGTAGTTTTGAGAAGAACGGCGAGGTATGACGAGTAACTTTAGTCGACCAAGTGGTGATAACTCCTCATGCTATGGGACATCTGGAGAGGCCACCAAGTGATGAGAAGTGGACGGATAATCGAAAAAGGATCCGACCATTGACTAGGACCCAACGGCGGAGACGGCAACGTCAAATCTTGGCCGTACACCTCGCGGAACAGGAACAAAAGCGCGAGCAATCCTCTGGAGGGCTTGAGGAAATTGAAATGATTGAGGAAACACCTTAGGTGGAAAAATTAACTTCACGGAGGAGGAGGCTAGAAGAATGAAGACCGAAACAAACTTTCCGGGAGGACAACACCCATTCAAGACAGCAGCCTCATCCGGATGAGCCGATGGCATCTGTTCCAGGGATGAACCAATTATCGAGGCCTTGGAGGATGACACGACGTTGATTGAGAGTTTGGACATCATCGTGAATGACCAATATCTGGAAAAGGCGCTGCGTTATGAAAGGGAATTTCGGGTGAACACTATTGGTTTTTTACCCAGAAAGTTCATGGCTCCGGAGGTTCAGCCTTCTTATTTCGAAGATGACATGTTAGTGGAGAAAACTGGCCTTCTTTCATGAGCCGATCCGGAACATGAGGTGCCAAATGAGGAATCAGAGCTAGTCATATTTTGGAAGTTAGCTGAAGAACAAACACGGCACCTTAAACCATTGTTCCTGACTGTCTATCTCGATGGTTGCACAATTAGCAAAGTCTTGGTCAACGGAGGGGCATCCGTCAACGTGATGGCCTAGTTTACACTCCAAAAGATTGGAAAGAACCGGGGAGATCTGATTGCTATCATCATGCGAACCACAGATTTCACGGGAAATACGCATTCAGCCGTCAGAGTGTTAGTGGTTGATGTGACAGTTGGGAGTCGTACCGACCGGATGGCCTTTTTTGTGATCGAAGGCAAAACAACTTACTCGGCCATTCTAGAAAGGGATTGGATTCATACCACTTAGTGTGTGCCGTCCACCCTACACCAAAAAGTGATATTTTGGAATGATAATCATATAAAAACGGTCGAATATGATACCGATCCAGGCATGGAGGTTCATGCAGCTGAGGTGCTTTACTATTCGCCTAGCGTGTACCGCTTTCGATGATGTTGAGCGATGTGGATACATGGAAAGAATGTAATCTCACAATGAACGGGTTCAAATTTTGTATAGAGACCGACACACGGCCTGGTCGTCAAACTGTTTGCAATGAATAACTATCAGGAGGTATTACAAGACCTGGAAGGGTAGATTGTCAAGATGTGTGACGCTATATGGAATACAGGATCCATCCCGGTTCGAATTATTGAAAGGCAGACAGATCCTTTAGATCCACTGCCTCCTCTAGAAGACCAAAATGAAGATGATTTTCCCTCGCCAACACCGCCGGAAAGATGAAGGCGTTCTCCGAGTTGCTACACAAAAATTAGGAGGTTTCGAATGAGGGCACAGCGCAACAGGCTGCTTTGGAACAGATCAAGCAGGCCCTTACATCACCACCGGTGCTGATGCCGCCGATCCCGGGAAGGAGCTGAAACTTTACATTTTGGCGACTGAGGACACTATCCGCTGCCTTCTCGTGCAGGATGATGAATCAGGTCTAGAAAGGGTGATTTATTATCTCAGTGAGAGTTTCAATAATGCTGAAATTCATTATGCACATATCGAGAAACTATGTTTATCTTTATATTATGCATGCATGAAGTCAGAGTACTATTTGTTGCCTGTTGAATATATCGTATTATGCAAAGTCGACTTGCTGAGATATTTATTGAGCAGGCCAGTCCTCCAGGATCACCTAGTCAAGTGGGTTATGAAACTAGCATCGTTCACATTAAAATATTGGAACCTATAAGCGGTGAAAGGGCAGGTTGTTGCCGATTTTTTTTGACGAACACCCCGGAATAATCGAGGCTGCTCCCGTGGGATACATCTGACTGGAACCATGGCAAGTTACATTTGATGGTTCGAGCACCGGAAGAGCAGCAGCGGCTGGAGTCCCCAACGAGAAGTTTGGAGTTTCGCACATCAGCTCCCGCATGGAATAACCAACAACCAGGCGAAGTATGAAGCTCTTTTGTTGGCACTGTGTTTTCTCGCTGCAAGACAAGCTAAAAATTTTCCCTGTTGGTCATCTGACAAGCATTAAAGGAATTTAAATACAATGACCCACGACTCCAGGAACTCCTCCAGGAAGTGCACAGTCTACTTCAATAACTTACAAAGGTGATACTAGATGACATTCCCCGAGAAGAGAATTCAAAGGTGAATGACCTCGCTTAATGGACATCCGGGTATCAAATGGAGAAAACAACCATTAAATTCGAATGACTAACTATCAACAGGGTTTCGGACTGGCACACAAGGCTCCTCGAGGCACTGAAAGACCTCGAAAAAGCTGGTTTGAAGTATATCCGGGAACAACTTCTGGAGTATACATGCATCGACGGTGAACTCTATCTCCGATGAGCCGACGGGACCTTAGCACAATGTTTGGGCGAGACGAAGTGATGAAAGTGATGGCTGAAGTAGACGAAGGAATCAGAGGGGCACACAAGGCTGACCCAATTTTGAGATGGACTATTCTCCGGTGTGGATAGTTCTGTCCTCGGATCTCACAAGATTGTATCGATTATGTCCCGGGGATGTCCTTCATGCCAACGCCACGGCCCTTTGCAACGCGCCCCGGCTGAGGAACTTCATTTGATCCTCAAACCGTGACCTTTTCGAGGATGGCAATAGACGCTATTCGAGGATGTCCTTCATGCCAAATCCAGGTACGGCTGAATCACGTTATCATTTTATTAAGAATAATATTATTCACCGATTTGGCATACCAAGGACCATCACGACCCATCAAGGGGCGGTGTTCACTAGCGTGAAGCTTAAGGTTTTTCTAGCACAATACGACATCCGGTTGGTACACTCTTCTCCGTATTATCCACAAGCCAACGGGCAAGCCGATGCCAATAATAAGACGCTAATCGCCATCATAAAAAAGGCGTTGGAGGATAATCTTAGGGCATGGACGATACTATGGAGGAAGCCTTGTAGGTTTATTGGAATGCAAAGTCCACCGCGATCAGAAGTACACCCTATAGATTGACATACGGACAAGACGCGGTCCTAACCCTTGAGATCACATTACCTTCTCTTAGGATCTTGAAACAAAATGAAATACCGATGGACGAGCAGGACTGGACATTGTTGCAAGAGTTAGACAGTCTAATGGAGGAACAACTTCAGGCCCTTGAACACCTCCGACTTCAAAAGAAGAAGGCCAAACGAACCTTCCAAAGTCAGGTTCGGTCCTGGTCCTTCCATGAAGGAGATTTGGTTTGGAAAACTATCCTTTCGGAAGTCCCCAAAGATCCAATGCTTGGAAAATGGTCACCCAAGTGGAAAGGTCCTTTTATAGTTTCGGCGAAGTCGGCAAGCGGCGCATATAAGTTAATGGAATCTGAAGGTGAAAAGTTAAAGACGTTCATTAGCAAGAAGCATCTAAAAGCTTTGTATCCATAATTTTGGGATCTCGAAGAATGTCCGATTCAACAGCAGTCCAGAACAACCCCCGACGATGCCCAAAAGATATGATTTTGACCAGTGAACTAGGACAACACGGAGGATTGGACCTCTAGACCCAACAGGTCATGAGGCAGGTCAATTGAGGTACTATTGATGAGGTCATTTCAGAAGATTTGGGGATTTGCTCTCATTATTAATGAAGGTAATAGCTATTTCATCCACCGGAGAAGGAAAGAAGGATGACGGTGCGTGTGAAGCTAGTGCAAAAACTTCTCGGGGGTATGCATACTGCAATATTTGTTTGGAAAATATCCACACATCAACAAAAATAATTTTGGACTGCAAAAGACACTTTTGTCCAAAATATTTTTGTGGGAGGCATTTGTTATCCTAGATAATAAAATTTTTATCTTAGCCCGGAGGCCCGCCAAAAAGATCCAACCGTTTAGATTGGGCCGGCCTAGAAAAGCTTGACCGGCATCCCAAATAGATTGGCCCAAGGGAGGAGCCGCCCAGTTCAGCCGGAAGCCCAAGATATGGTCCCAATAATTTGAGCAGAAATCAGTCCAATGAGCCGTGCACATCCGGATAAAGAATTATGGAAGAAGTTAGCGAAGTTGTTCCTAAATTCTACGAGAGAAAATTGAAGAATAATCAATGAGGTATTTAAAAAGGAGAAAACTGAGGAGTAAGGAGAACAACATCATCCGATCAACACCAGCAAGCAATCAAGTCAGTTCACTTTCTTTCCTTTCCTGCATTATTCAATTTATTTTCTTTTCTTTTTTTCATTATGCGCAATTTATTGCTTTTCCATTTAATTTTCTTGTTCCTAAATTCTTATTGAGCATTTAATTTAATTCGTTTCTTGAGTAAATTTACCTATTTTTTTTTTCGGTCCAGCACCATAATTTATACATATTTTTTGTCGATTTATTTTTTATGCGAGACTTAACCCAGATATTTTCTTATGTAGACCGGAGAACCCGATTATTGTCGATTTCGACTGGCCAAAATCTTTTGGGCCGTCATCAACGAATTTCAGTAACAACAAATCTAATTTTTAGTTATTTTATATAAAGTTGACTTAATTTTATTTTTTAATTTTTTATTATTTAATATAGTATCAGTTTTTTGTAAAAAAATATCAAAGTATTAAATTCAATTATTATTTTATTAATTGTTTTTTAAAAATATATGTATTTTGCTATAATTGTCAATTTCACATAAAGGAGGGCCTCAGTTCGGTAGTTCGGCTTCGAATAGTTTTAGTCGGGTATTCAAAATTTTGAATAGTATTTTATAGTATCCGAACCGAATCTGATTTTTTCGGGTACTTGAATTTTTTGGATACCAGGTAATTTTTAATTCGAATACTCTATTTTTTTCTCAATGATAACTTTAGTATAAATACATATTTTTATACTTGTAAAATGTACAAGTGCTACATAATTCTGAATTTTTAATTTTTAATCATTATAACTCAAAAGTTAGTAAATAAATAAAAAAAATAACATATATTGATGTAAATAAAATAGCTTATATTGATGAAAAAGATTTCTATTTAATATCAAATCCAATTATCCATATATATTAAAAATTATAAGGATAATATAATATTATTTACTATTATTGTTGACAACCAAAGCTCTTTTAGTTGTCAAAGGCTACTCACAAAAATATGACATTGACTACGATGAGAGCTTTGCTTCAATGGCGCGTCTTACCTCGATTTGTTGTTTAGTTGCAATTAGAGTTGTTCGTAAGTTGTCTCTTTTGTAGTTGAACATCAAGAATGCATTTCTCGATGATGATCTATTTGAGGATATTTATACGGTATTGCCTCCAAATTTTTCTCTTTCTCCTAAAGTCAGTAAGTTGCAGTGTGCTCTTTATGGCTTGAAACAGACTCCATGTGCTTGATTTTTTAAGTTCAACTCAACTCTTCAAGTTTGACTTCACTTCTAGTTCGCGTGACCCTGCCTTATTTATTCAACGACGTTCTTCTGTAATTATTATCTTACTACTCTATGTTGATGATCTAATTCTTACTGGGAATGATCAGTGTGGTATATTTGATTTATAGAGCTACCTTTAGCAACACTTCGATATGAAAAATCTTGGCCATCTTCGGTATTTCTTGGGTCTTGAGATTTTTGATGGTACTAATGAGTTTTACATATCTTAGGCTAAGTATGTTTCTGATTTGTTGTCTCGTGCTCGTCTTACTAATTGCAAGTCAACTTCGACACCCTTTTATGTTGGATGTCGTCTTACACCAATGGATGGGACTTCCCTTGACGATCATTCTCTTTATCGCCAGCTTGTTGGGAGTTTGATTTGCTTGACAGTTACTCATCCTGACATTGTTTAAGTTGTATATCTGGTTAGTCAGTTTACGTCTGCAGCCCGCACTACTCACTACTCTACAGTTCTGCATATTATTCGTTATGTTATGGGAACACTATTGCATGGATTATACTTCTCAGATTAGTCTCCCTTAACTTTATCTGGTTACTCAAATGCTGATTAGGTAGAAGATCCTACATATTGTTGCTGGTTTTTATTTCTTTCTTGGGGATTCTCTTATCTCCTGGCATAGCAAAAAACGAACAGTTGTTTCTCATTTCAGCATTGAATCCAAATATCGAACTCTTGTTGATGCTACTTCTGAGCTCTCGTGGCTGCGTTGGTTACTTGTTGATCTTGGAGTGTTGCAGTCATCTTCTATTCTTATGCATTGCGATAATAGGAGTGCTATCCAAATTTCTCATAATGATGTTTTTTTATGAGCGTACCAAACACATCGAGATTGACTGGTCATCTTGTTCGTTATCATGTTACTCATGGCAACGCAAACTATGCTCTGTCTCATCTGATGATCAAATTGCAGTTTTTTTACCAAGTTACATCATTCTGCTCGATTTTAGTCTCTCTTACACAAATTTAAGTTGAATTCTACGACGCCTACTTGAGTATGGAGGGGAAGTTGGAATATTTACTATTATTTATTTGTTTGTTTGTTTATTTTATTATTTGGTTTTTTCCATATGCATATAAATAGGCCTTGACTTTATGATTAATGCAATTAATTATTTTCCTCTCAAAATTTATTTTAACACTTATGTTGATCTACAAATTTATAATCTATGATTGTACAACACACCGTGCATTGAGCTCAGCCATTTAGGGTGTGACAATTGAAGAAAGACTTGTTAGATCGATTCATCCCTTTCTCATGACAATTTCAACCTCGAATAATATATATTAATGAGAACATATAATTTCTGACAATCTGATCATAGTTAACTACTTAATTCAACTTGAAAAATGAAACAAAATGTTAGTCTACTTGGACTAATAAATTAAGCAAGGATATATATATATATATATACTTGTACTTCAAGTAATGTTTCGACCACACATGGTTGGGAACCATATTTTAATATGAGTCAGCATAAGCACAGTTTATCCTGATTTAAGTACACCCTAACACACTTCTTCGATAGTCAACTATTTTGACATTCCAATTAGAAGTAAGGAATACGTGTTTCATATCTTCTAAATAAATATTAATGTCATACTTTTAATTTAAAATAAAAGTTTGATATAATATATTTAAAAAAAAAAAAACTATTTAATGAAATACTTTTAAAGGAAAAAAATAACAATAAATAGAAATTTTGAAAAAGCCTAACAAAACAAACCTACATATCAACACAAATAAAATTCGGCCGGAGATTTACCTAAAGCACACTCCTTAGCGGCTGCGGATTCCACGTTAAAAAAATAAAATAAAATAAAATAAACACACACATATATATTATATAAGTTTGAAATTTGAGATCATGCGATCAAGTCAAACCAACCCTGCAAATATAATATATATTATGATTCAAGTTTGAGGGTGGATTCAAGTTTGAGGGTGCTTTTGTTTTACGAAATTATTTGAAAAAAATATATATATTTTTTATTTATATTGTTTTTACCTGAGATATAACTAATTGTTTATGTAATACAAAAAAAAAAAATAAAACTGTATAATATATTAATATTTTAGGAAAAGTATTTTGAACAATTTCTACAAAAAGAACATGCCCGACATTTTCATTAATTTTAGTGTATCTAGCAAAGGGAGAAGCTTTGGTCATCAAATAATACTAAAAGAAATACCATGTTTGATCCAATTTTCCACCCGCTACGTTATTTTAAGCAACATATCGCTGGATATGATACTATTTATATCTCGAATCTTTTGTTATTCTTTATGATGTGAGGTTTTCAAACTTTTTCCAATAATTTTTTAACACTAAAATATTTTATTCTTTCTAGTCTAATATAATTTATAAACTTATTTTTAAGAATAATAATGACAAAATAGGAAAAACATACCATCCTACGTATCATCAAGATTTTTATTGTTTTAGTGTTTTGAAAAATTTTAAATATAATAAAAATTTCATATTGAATATAATCTTTTGTTAGAAAAAAAATACTTTTGATGTAATATTTTTTTTAAATATAATAAAAATTTCATATTGAATATAATCTTTTGTTAGAAAAAAAAAATACTTTTCATGTAATATTTTTGAAAATACGTAGCCCAAAATTCCAAAAGTTTCAAATTAACTTGAGTAAACAAAGTTTGATTTTCTTTGAGATTTTAGGTTAATGTTATGTTTTGTTGGGTATAATTAAAAAGGTCAAAGATAAATAAATTGATTTCTCATACATTTTATTTGATTAATTTATTTTGATTTGTAGTTTGTTGCAACTGAATGCAACGTGCAGATGTGAACAGTTTTTCCTCTTCCCATGGTTATATACAAAATAATCCAAAAAATATAATGTATAATTTTCCTCAATTTTTAAAGGAGGGAAAATCAATTCTTAAAATCTCTCTAGCACGCGAGGCTTGATTTTGCATCCTATATGAGTTTTCGGATTTTGCCACATCTCAGATTTGTTAATAAATTTTCCAACAATTTTGAAGTGAA